CAGTGGGGAGAGGTTATAATGAGGCCAGTTGTCATGAGTTAATGTATTTCCTATCACTTGGTTCGCAGCTGAATGTCATGGGCTGACTGTTGGGCACGAGCTAGGGCCGTGTCAGCTGGACCATCAGGAGGAGCTCTGTGTTCTAAAGAAATATTCTCTACGGCTCTTCTTGTGCTCCACAGATACCTAGGTGCCCTATGTCACCGTACTTGTTCTCCCAGGAACAAACACTCCGAAAAGGGACCACAAAGTGAGACACTTCAGAATTTCAAGCATCAGGCAGTGGAGGGGAGAATCTGGAAATCTTACACTCGCCAGTCTCACTGCCCAGACTGCACAAAAGAACGGGGCAGGCTGTGGGTGGAATGGGCCTGGGGCGATCATGCTGAACCAACCATGTCTCTTAGGCTGGCTCAGAGCGCATTAGCTGTGTGGGGACAGTCACCCCTTTCCTTTTTTTGTGTATGACTAAAGTATTTCATTAAATTACGTGTATGCTCTGCAAATGGCTTCATAAGAAATCATAAAATCAAAATTATAAACATTTTCAATAAAAAGGTACAAGAATGAACAGCAAAATTACATTTTTCTTTTTTAAAAAGATGTATTTATTTATCTATCAGGTACAGGGTCTTACTATTAGGTACAGCTCAGACTCCTAGTGATGCTCCTGTCTCAGCCTCCCCAGTGCTGGGATTACAGGCACGCACCACCATGCCTGGTTTCAGTGGCCAGCTCGACACCAGGCCAGCACAGCATGCGGTACCAGGAATTGAACCCATATCCTTGCACTTGCCAGGTAGGTGCTTAGACTGCTGAGCTATTGCCCCAGCCTACATTTTCTTTCTGTGTGTGTCTGTGTGTGTCTGTGTGTGTCTGTGTGTGTCTGTGTCTGTGTTTAAGACAGGGTCTCACTATGCAGCTCAGGCTGGCCCGTAGCTCACTTTGTAGCCCAGGCTGGCCTCAAACTCTCAATGATTCTCTTGCCTCAGCCTCCTGAGTGCTGGGATTACAGGTATGCACCACCACGCCTGGCTCTACATTTTCTTTATAGTACAAATAGAAACATTTTGGTTCTGACATTTGATCTAAAACTTTTATAATATGTTTTCTAATAGCTGCAATGAACCTCCTCACTTCACCTGCCATCATCCTTCAACCCAGCTGCTTAGCCCAGTGTAAGAGAATACATTTTGGAGACAATTTCCTTTTTTCTTTTCATCTCATGAAAAATATTCTCCCAATCAGATAATAAAAGAATAGCAAGCTATTACATGGTGTACCATTATCTTCAAAGTAGTTACTCAGAACAAGACATAGACCAAAGAGTCTCACAGAAACAGATAATAATACAAGCTTTCCTTGCAACAGACTAAGATAAACTTTAGTATAAATGAAACAAATTAGTTTATATACTGAAATATTTTTAAAACAACAGAATGCACAATCTGGGGAAGTATGTTGACTTTTCCTTGCTTCTTATTTATCTCTCTTCTATTTTGCTCTGTATTTGTATGTGTATAGTTTCTCCTAGAAGAGAAACCATACTGTATTTGAGCTGACTTATTTCACCTTCTTAACGTTAAGGGCTCAAGTCATACCCACTTACCTATGACTGCCTTGAGCTTATCTTACTTTATAGCAGCACAGTGTCCATCATATGACCATATCTTTCATATAATTTTTTTTTTTTTTTGGCAGAACCAAGGATTGAACTCAGGTCCTTGTGCTTTCCAGGCAAGTGCTTATTCCACTGAGCTATCTCCCTGGCCTTTATATAATGTTGACAACTATCTTATGCTTGGAAGGTTTCTGAAAATCATTTCACTTTGCTTGGACAGGTCCATCTTAAATTTTTAAAGTATGAATACTGCCGATGGCTAAATTGTTGACTAAGGCAGGTGATGATATGTAAGAGATGTTTTTCCAAAGTACTTAAAGCTCCAAAGATGCTCATTTCCTGTGTCCTAACTGTTCCACAAATCTCTGTGTGACTCAGCCATGTGGTGGCTTAGGTTGACCAAATTTTACTCTTTCTACTTGTGGGCTCTGGATAGTTTAAGATGATCAGGGCACTGCTCACTGATTGGTTCATTAAGCAATGTTAAAGCCAATCAGTGCAAAGTGAAGTTAGGTCTTTTCATCCATCCTCAACAAATAAAAGAGAAACAATGAGGACCACCAGGTAGCTCTCTTGAGAGAGTGGTTTCAGACAGTGAGATACTGATTGAGGTTAGAATGAAACCAGAAAGAAGTTGAGCCTTGAGATGCAGAGAAACAGAGCTGGTGTTTTGACCATCTCCTAGATTTTTCTAATTGGTGAGGAATAAATTCTATATTCTTGAAGCTAATTTGAATTGACTTTTCTAGAAGGTACAGTGAAATGGCAACACCTTCTCCTCCTCCCCACTCCCATGGACTCTGAACTTTGGGCCTTTGGTTCTCCATCCTAGACCTCTATGTTGGAACCAAGTTACAGAAATAACAATTTAACACCATATGAGTTCATCAAAGAATATTTCTGCAAGAGAGTTCCAAGGGAAACTGAGCAAAGCCTAGCCCAACAAAGCTTCCAGTTGCCATGCTTGTTCTATGTCTGTGCCTTTCATGTTTTTCCTACTTCAGAAGGACAAAATGACCACTTTCCATCTCTGTCTGCTCAGATCTCACAATTTTCAAACACCTAAGCTCAAATGCTTGCTTCTCTTGAAGGCTTCTCTGATAGCCTCAGCTGGAGAAAAGAAAACAGTAACCCCTCCAAGTGATACAGCAGGACCTCATTTTACGGTCCCCACTCCGAGTGTCTCCTGCACATGACTGGAACATTTGCGTGCATGGGGCCTGCTTGGTTTACCTGCTGGGCTCTCTACAGTGATTGTATAGTGTCTGGCATCTGAGGAGTAAGCCGAGTTCAGTGATTGAAACAACGCAAAAGGGTTTCCTTGAGGAGCTTCAGGCCCAAGGCATGACTGAAGTGCTAATTCTCCTCCTGTGGTCCCTGCACCGCACCATGGGCATCTCCTGGAAATGTGAACAAAATGCAAATTCTTTGGATTTGTTGGACCTTCAAAAACAGAAATGCAGTGTTGAGTCGAGCAACTGGTGTTTGAACAAGCTCCCTAAAGTCCAGTGCACTTTGAAAGTGTGAGAACAACTGGATCTAGACATGGTCTCAAGCTAGGGATTGAGGAACAAAGGGTCCTGGCTACCTAAGAGCCAGTGGAACACCAAGGGAAGACAAGGGCAAGCTGTGCTATTTTGTGCTATTTTCAGTAAGTTTTTTTTTCTAATTTATCATGAGTACACATTAGATTCTAAAATATAATCCTTTTTTAAAATTTTGTTTCTAAATATGTTGTTTCTAAGGACATTTTCCTTGAAGAATCTAAAGTTTTGTTGTTTTGATTATCATGCCAATCTCAATAAACCTAATTTCTATTACTTTATACAGTTAATATGAAGCTCTTATCCCTAGCAAAAAAAAAGCAAAAGCAAAATATGTAATGAATAAAGATGAAGAACTAACTTCTGTTGAGAAACTTTATTTCCTCATCTAATCTCCATCAGTCCTGTTAAAGTGGATGTGAGAATCTTCATTTTATAGGGAGAAGATCAGAGTTTGGATGCTTGGAAACCCTGGGCTGAAGTCAGAGCAGTTGGTTCCAAACCTGACTCCACCTGGGCTTCTTCCCAAGGACCACCCTACCTCCCTTGGCTCTGTTCAGCACTGGATATTTACAATTGCATCCTCCCTACTTAGGCTGTATCTACATATACCTGAGGTATGCATGGGGCTATTTAAAAAAAAAAAAAGTAATGCAATGGGGAAAAAGGAAAGTTTTGTAGCCACCCTACCTAAAAATATCCCCATATTGTGGTCAAAGATTTTGTAAAAACTTCAAATGGAATTTGGAAGCTAAAATGCGTCTAGTTTCTTTCAAATCTTGATTTCCATATGGCTGTCAGCTCTTTTTAATAGAGGATGGGTCAAACTGATTTGGAAGACAGCTCAAAATATCCTCGGTTTCAGTTCAGGAAAAGCAAACCAGCTTATCCCATGTCCCCTTCGCCAGAACACTGCGGTCTGCAAAACGGACCACAGGCCTCTGGAGCAGTAAGACTGACTCACGATTCCTAGTTAATTCATCTTCAAAAATGAAGGCTACCCCTGCACAAGAAAAAGGTTGTGGACAGGAAATAATTCAAGCAAAAGCAGTGCTAACTGATGTTATTGCTTTCATCTATTTTTAAATGATTGTCAGATGTCTGTAACTGACACCCGTGATCAGTGGCTCTAAAGTTTAGATGTGTTTATTAAAATTTAATATGATGGTGGCATCATTTTATTGACAGTCTTTTTGGGAGGAGGGTGACTTTTTGCCTAAAATTTTTAAAACTCTCTTTAATAAGAGAGGAATTGCTTGTGTGAGCCTTTTTGAAATACCTGATCACTTTTCGGCAATGTGTGTTGCTTTTTCTCAGACAAGACACTGCAGTGTACACCCAGAGGGAAGATCTTTCAATCACTTAGACAGTTCAAGTGAAAAAGAAATAGGCTTGGACTAAAATACTCAAGTCATCTCAGGCAGAAGGGCCTGTGGCTAGAGTTACATGGGTAACTGCCTCCATTTTTCATGCTTTTCAGCAACATCTTCACAGATCACTCCTTGGAGTCATCCTTTACGTTTGTTTTTTCTATTTGTTAAGACAGACATGATGTGGACAAAACTATTTCAATTGCTATCAAGCTAAAATAAGCAAACATTAAAAAAATAACCAGAATTTGCAGAAAATGTCACAGTGGACGTAAACTGCGAGACGATGAGAAGTTGGTCACATTAAAACACCAGGTGCCTAACATCTCATCCAGCTTCTGCTTGTCTCATCTGGCTGTCTCAGAAGGAGGCAGTCAGCTTTGTTCTTTGTTGCAGGAAATGTAAACTATTACATATTTAAAACACAGCCACGCCTTATGTACAAACCAAAGTCTCTGTACTTACTTCTCAGTACTGTGTGTCCAAGAGATGTTATTGGAGGGCTGGCTCGATGGTGGGCTCCCCACGCTGTGTGTCAGGCATTGATTGGGTGTCCTTGATCCTGGGACAGGAATTCAAATAGAGTCTTTTCCACAAACAGGTCAAAGCACAGTTGGGTCTCTTTCCAGACCAGCTCATGTCTTCCTAACAGGGAAACCTCCAGGCCCAAGCAAGTTTTAGAAGAGCATTTTTCCCCTGCCCTTGACTGAACTAGGTCATTGCTGAAGCTGGAGAATATTTTTTAGCATCACTGTGATGAAACTTGAGGGCTGTTTCTGCAGTAGGTGAGACACTTGTTGACGCAGCCAGGGAGGCCCTGGCAAAGGGGCCTGGTGAAACACAGCCCCAGAGAGCTGATGAAACCAAGGCAAGCTGTCACTGACTGCTGCTGAGGAGCCAGGACAGCTTCTTGCAAAGCCCATGCAGGAGTCTGAGTTTAACTGCTCACCCCTTAGGAAAGTCAAAAGGCAGAGTAACACAACCAGCTTTGTACTAAGAAAATCAGGCATCTGAAGTACACATAGGAAACCTTTGGGGAGGGTGGAGAGGAGGTGAAAATGAGAGTCATGTGCTGTGAAAAAGCACTGAAGTTATCCTCTGAAGTTCTCTGTGCAAAAGCCACAGAAGCAAAGCAATATTCCCCTCCCCCATCTCCCCCTCCTTCTCTCCTGTATACACACACACACACACACACACACACACACACACACCCTTTTCCTATTTTGACTGCAATGGTTAAGAAAAAATAGCATGGACAAAGATCAGACAAATTCCATAGAAGAAATATCACAGACTTTATTTGTTCAAATTGTCAGGAACTGTTCCTTTTGGCATAATAGATTTATCATGATTGAATTTTGTCCAACTTCAGGAAAGAATGTAGAAAATCCAGAGGTAGTGATTGCCTCACTACAAAAGTATGTTAATGCATGGCACCTGGAAATCGGCAGCTTAGAAAGAAAGCTCTTGTGAGACACAGACAGCTAAAATTAGCAGCTCCAAGTGAGTGACTTTAAAAGGGACATAACTATAAATTTTGACCCTGTGGCAATCACCTTAATCCTCAAAAGCAAAATATTTTTTGCATAGCATAGTATATGCATCACCATTCTTTGATGGAATGCAATTTTTCATAAGACCAAAAAAATCTAAAATGATTAGCTATCAAGAAGTACACCATATAGGTGTCGTGTTCTGTTTTTCAGTTTTATCTTCATATGAGGAGAAAGATACTAAAAGCTGACAGACTCCAGTATGAGGCCTTTCTCTTTGAGCACAACTCTAAGAAATGCAACTGAGAAAAGAATTTGACCAAGACTTTGTGACTGTGGTTGTTAGGTAATTTCATGTGAAATGGGTAAGCCCTTTTCCAGATAAGGGAAAATAACCTGAAGACTGGAACAGAGACAGGAGAAGGTGTGCTGAAAGAAGAGAAACACACATCACACACAAATACAGAAATTAACAAATTTCCCAAAGTAATAGATACATATGATAAGGTTATGTAGAGTTGCCTTGACAGTCTTAGAAGAAAGAGTGGAAACACACTGTGGAACTTCATTTCATCAGGAACAGGATAAAAACCCATGACTTCAATTCCTAACATTCATTTTCCAACAAAACGAATATAAGGCACAGATGAATATGAGATAGCCATATATAAATATATGTATTATGGACATACACATTTAAATGTACAGTATCTCTATAGCCATAGAAGTTCTATTTTAATCTTAGATTCTTGGGAGCAAGCATATCAGAAAAAATAACAGCTTGGAATTAACTAAACTTGAGTAGGTAAGGACACTTGCTCTGAATATTCTGTGATTTTTCAAAGAACAAAGGAAAAGAGTGAGATGTTGATGTACCCTTATTGAATCACAAAAATACATACCAAAGAAATCAAATTATTTAGTTAATTCCAAGAGAAAATAGCATAGAATATAAGAGAATACGTTTAAGTAATCTATTTTCCTGAAGTTGTGGGAGAAGGAAAAAAAAAATCTTCATTTGTAGGAAGGAAAAATCTTCTCAGAAACAGAGTTAAAAACATACTTTTATGTTAGGGGAAATGTATTTTTAGGTCAAATTCCCCTTAAAGACCTTTGGGGCTTCCCAAAATCCCAAATGCTGTTTCCTTAGCTTCACAATTACATGGGTGCCACTGTGATGGCTGGCCACACCAGCTGCTCAGGGGTGTGGATATAGTCAGTTCCTAACGCGACTCTTACACTGCTCTTTGCCCCCCACAACTTAGGTTAGCAGTGGTACGTGAGGGCCTTGTCCGCTCAGTTTGGTCCTCCTGGCGCAGAAGGTGGCTGAATGCTGGTGTAGAATGACACAAGTGATGTCATGCCCTCCCTTGCCGAGCACATTCTTGGCTGAGACTGAGTCCCCATCACATGTCAAATCAGAGGTTCTGCCAGGGTCTGCCAGCCAAGTTGGAATTCTGCAGATCGCTCCTGTGGCAGAAACCTGTCAGCTTGGGGAGATTTGAGCCCTTCAATTTTATTTTTAAAATACACATCAAATAAGCATCACATTGGGTGTAGTGGCACATGCCTGTAATCCCAACACTTGGGAGGCTGAGCCAGGAGGATCGCTACGAGTCTCAGGCTCTTTACCTGGCTACACAGTGAGTTTTTCTGGGCTATATAGTGAGTTCAAGGCCAGCCTGAACTACAGAGCAAACCCTGTTTCAAAAAAATATGCACTGACACTCAGAACAAAAGCAATATTTCTACTTTCAGAAATTAGTATGTTGAGTCCTAGGCCCCAATTCACAAACACTAAGGAAAATGGACTAGTTGAAATAGTGTAAAAAATGTAAATTTTGGAAGTTATTTGAGTATATGAGGTATAATTGAAAAATACAATGACTTTATGTTTTTTTAATTATTACAGTAAATTATATACTGCAAATAATCCCCCATCATTCTTGTCACTTTCCGAAGCAGTTCTGGATTTCATGAGTGTCTTTAGCTGTGCTAGCATGGCTGCCTAGATGTCCCGAATCAATCCAAAATGTTTACCTTTTAAAGTCATTTTCACTTTGGGGAAGAGCCAGGAATTGCCCCGTGCCAGATCCGGCGAGTACGCTGGGTGATGACACACTCATGTTTTTACGAGCCTGCCTTTCTGTTTAAATGGAATTCACACTGACTAATAAGTACATATAAAATTATTTCATGTATAATTTGTCACAAATAGAATCTGTTTTACAACCTGCAGTTTATCATTTTATTTGTGAAGTTTTGAGATACAGAAATTATGAAATTTGATTTTTAATATAACCTATTTTGTAAGACAAAAAGAAGTGGTTTAGTGCATAGAATTTCAGAATCATAATATGAAAAGGTTTGAAGAGCTGTTTCACAATGATATGAGTATACGTAACACTACTGAATCTTACACTTTTAAATGGCTAAGATGGTATATCTTATGTTCAGAGGTTTTTTTATTACAATAAAAAGAAACCCTGCTCTTTTTTTTTTTTTTTGTCTTTTTTGTATGAGATCTCTCTATGTAGTTTAGGCTGGCTTTGAATTCATTTTGTAGCCCAGGATGGTCTCAAATTTGCAACAATCCTCCTGTCTCAGCCTTCCGAGTGCTATGATTACAGGCATGAGCCACCATGGCTGGCAAAAAAAAAAAAAAAAAAAAAAAACTCTGCTTATTTTTTCCTTGAGTTTCTTTTTTTCTCTCCTTATACAGCCCTGGGTTTTCTATGTATGTATTCACATTTCGTACTGCTAGGTTAAGTTGGGTTTAATAATTCCTTCTTTTACTTTTTGAAGTTACTTTGTCAGGGTAACCTATGGGATAATTTGTACCTTTCTTCTTCTTCTTCTTTTTTTTTTTTTTTTTTTTTTTGGCAGAACCAGGGATTGAACTCATGCCCTTGCACTTGCCAGGGAAGTGTTTATTCCACTAAACCATCTCCCTGGCACTGTACCTTTCTTCTTAACCTAGATATCTACGATTCTCAGTTTTCCCTTTCAATTTGCCATACCAGAAAAACAATTTAATATTTAAATGTGTGTACCCAGTTTATTTCACTTAGGAGTATGGTCTCAAGGTGCATGCATTCACCTGGAAATGTCTCAAGTTCATCCTTTACAGCAGAGTAGTACTCTGTTATATTTTTTTTTTTAAAAAAAAAAATCCTTATCCATTCATCTGTTGATAGGCATTTGGGCTGTTTCCAGAATTTAGCTATTACAAACCAAAAGAATAGATAAGGACCAAAATGTGTAATAGATATTGCAAAATAGGAAGAAAATGTTTAAATGGGAAGGGGAACTGGGGAGTGGGATGGGGAAAGGAAGGAAGAAAAAAGAAAAATGGAAACAATGCTCTTGGAAGTAAGGAGAGGAGAAGAGGGATTGCAGGGAAGGCAGAGGAATGAGGAGAAAAGAAGCAAGATGTAGTATGTACAGGTACAATGAATATGATCATCATGTATATCTAAAATGTACAAATAAAATTAATTTTTAAAAAAGAAAAACTAGGGCCGCTGAGATAGCTCAACAGACTAAGCACTTGGTTAGGCAAGCCCAGGGACCAGGGTTCAATCCCCAGCACTACATGCTGCACCAGCCTCCCACCCTGCCCCCTCCCCTTAGCTCCCACCCTCACCCCCGGTATGCTGATACAGTTACCAAGACCAGGCGTGGTGGCACATGCCTGTAAACCTACTGCAGGGGAGGTTGAAACAGGAGGATTACTATGAGCCTGAGCTGGGACCCTGTACCACATACATAAAAAAAAAGAAAGAAAAACATTTTTTTAAAATTCCCTCCTGTTATGGTATGATCATTAATTGTGATAGGGCAACTTGGCTTCAGTAAGAACTGCCCAGCAGATTAATGAAGTTCCAGGTGCATCTGTGGGGCAATAGGTAGGCCAGCAAATTGGAAGGGAAAGACCTGTCTTGGATATGGATGCATAAACCAAAGCGCTTGTAGCCTGGCCTGAATAAAAAGGGAAAAAAGAAAGCAGGCCATGTTAGTGGTGAGCACTGGTGTCTCCACTCACTGTGAGCATTGGTCTCCAGTTTCCTTAGCTTTCCAGCCCTCCAAGGCAGTCTCTTTGGCCTTCTCACACTGACTCACACCAGTGACTCCATGTCTTCAACCATAAGCTTCCATGTCTTCAACTATCCACAGCTACTCAGTCCTCCAACTTCTGAGTGCATAGACATCCACTGTGAATTCTTCCATCTCTGACCCACAGATATCCATTACGACTCTTCCACTTCTGATTTTGGAAGCCTACCTAGTAGATGCCTTTGTACAATTATACACATATCACATACTGATTCTCTTCCTCTACAGAACTCTAACTAAGATAGGAGCTTCTAATTTTTGCAACTAAGAGAATAACATGGGCACAATATTTAGGACTTTGGTTTGACAACTCTGGAGTTTGTCTCCCATTAAAAATAAAACCAAATGAGAGTTAAGACCTCCTGCTATGGCTGAATATGAAGACTAGAAAATCCTCTTCCCAAAAATCAACTATAAAA